ACCGGGACAAAACACGTCGAAACAATAAACAGCACACATGAAAGTGTGAAATAATGTGATAGAAAGCTATAACATAAAGAAAGACCGGGCTAAGTCACGTGACCGTTTTTTGCTTGTCAGATAGATGAATTATGTCATATTACAACAAAACGATAATCGATTATGTATCTTGTTAATAATAAAAAGTCTTTTTTGGCCATAATCAATTCCGCCTCACAAAATAAAAACACTTACCATCGTTACGCGAATCTTAGAAAGAAAACATGTAACTGATAGTAAAAGAAAATGAACCTTGCGCTTACCTCAACGTTGTCATGTGACCCAGCCAAACGTTCACGCTCCTTTCGCGAAGTACTACCCACAGTAGACATGACGTGGCATGAGTCAGACCAAAGTAACTGGTTCGTAAGCAGTATTAAAAAAATAAAATGTTGGAATTTTATATCTATGATTTATATATAAATACCGAACGTCTGAAGTACTCAAGGTTTTTTTAGTTAATATTAAAAGTTCAATATAGATAATAAAAAAAATCCATATGTTCCAATTTTAATTTATTAAATATAGTATATCAATCGATCTCTATGCTTTTTATATTAAAAATAAATAATTAAGCCAATCACGTTACTTTCTTGCGATTATTAAAAGATAATGTCGACATATTTATATGTTATTACAGAATACCTGTAGTGTGTTGTTAAATAGTTAAGGTTGTGAAGTATATAAGGAAAAAAGGTAAAAAAAAATTTTTATGGACCAAAAGTATTTATATATTTAAAAGTTCCCATGGAAAAAATTCCCATGATATTTAGAAGGAATGCGTTATAATCTGAAACAACACGCGTAGTTAAAAAATGACATCATTTTAATGCAAAATGTTAGATGCAACAATAATATTAGGACATCGGTCTCCCGGTTAGCGTGAATGACAGGTGCATTAAATCAAAAAAAATTTTGACAGTTTTTTTATTATAGTTTTATAATAAAGATCGTAGCAGTGGACAATTTTCCTTTAAGCATTAATATACTATCTATCGGCTTTTATTCCGAGTATAAATAACTTTATAAAGCCATGTGATGAAAGCAAATGCTCATTTTCCAAAATAAGCATGTAAACTCTTTGTCGCCTATCCAAAAGAAAATGACGTAATGTGAGCCAGTGTACCATATGCGAAAGTACCATTGTCTGCTACATCGAAATTTTGCGAGGTGACCAGGTTATGGTCGGAACGTATATAAAATAAAATTTTTATTAACAAAAAAATAATTTAAATGGATAATTATTTTCGAAGGCGGACCGGAAATTTTCTGGTACTACAATTGTATATTTCAAAACTACAAACATATTACGTGTATACTATAATAAATATCATAAGATATTATGGCGTAGTGTATCAATTACAATGTCTCGTGAACTGACGGTAAAAACGTAATCCTTGAAAAGTGACTGTAAATAAAATCCATTAAAAAAGGTAAAGGTAACCGAACAAGTCCCGGACCAGTCCCGGACCGTAGTCCCAGCATTTTATTTAAATATCTCCGACAAGTAATAAAAAATCCGATTAAGATCGATCAATAACAACCCTAACGTTGATATTGCACTGCGCCATAATATACCCCTTATGACATGAACAATAGAAAAAAAAATTTTTTTTTCCCAACCTTACCAGGCACGTGTAAATATACAGTTCGTTTGCCTTTTTTATAATATTACGAAATCTAAGTTCACGTAACTAAAGATATTACGCGTATTACGCAGCAGGTGAAATCTTTGTTACTAATAATCTAACAAATATTAGGTTATCTGTGAAAAAGTCGAAAAATCTGGCATTGACAAAAAGAAATATCTTGTTCCAGCTGATCTCACTATGTTCGAAGAAAATAAATATCCCATTAATTTCAAATAAAAATTTTCAGATAAGTATTTTAATATTTTCAAATTATAACTTGATCGATTTTTAAAATCGGTTCCTTGCCACAAAAGATGTTTGCAGAACTTAAAATAATAAAATAAAATCCAACTTATGAAAGATCAAGCGCCTTATTATCATCACATTTCAATAAATTTTTTAAAAATTCAATGGGAAATGCAATCGCAAAAATTATAATAAATATAGGAATAAACCTTGTCATCAATGCGCTGTAATAGCGTTTTTACGATATTCATATACGCATTAGAAATTTGAATTCAAATGTACTATAACTGCATCCTTAATTAATATCGTTTCTTTCCCCCGTCGTCACTTATACATTCTCTCTCACTTATTTCTAATACTAATCTTAAGTCATCACTTCTACTTCGATATTCTTTACTAATCTTTCCCAGTGTATCTATGCAATCTCTACGTTTCATTACTAAATTTTCTAATTGTTCTCTTGGCTTACTACCTTTCTTGCTGCAAAGCGCCGCAAACAATCTAAATGACGCGACAAGCTCTTTGAATGTATCATATTGACTACAGATAATTGAAGAAAATTCT